TAATAACACGATATATACACACTTGTCAAATAACACGATATATACACACTTCTCTAATAACACGATATATACACATTGGTCTATTAACACGATATATACACACTGGTCAAATAACACGATATATACACACTGGTCTAATAACACGATTCATCAACGTTCACAGTGAAAAATACACAGGGACTGTGAAATGGTTCAATGCAGTATAACATCAGTATTCAATCATACCTTGACGCGTATTCTTACCTGATTCATAACTAATTTGGAATCCATTCATTCGAATATTTCTATCTGTTGAAAAGATGAACCAAAATAGACTCTGGTCTTTCACTTCCCACGGAAGTGGTACCGTATTGTCGTCTGTTAGATTTCCTTCAAAACTATAAACCGTTTGTAAATAGTCGGCAGTAGGACCGATACCGAATTCAAGCACATCTTTGTTAAGTTCTGTTTGGAAATAGTCTATGGTGAAGGTAACTGAGTGTGCGCCGTGAATACGAAGCAGATACACACATAATGATCTGTCGTCATATTTTCCACCTGGACCGTAGTTTGGTGACGTAATTACTCCAACTTGATCTGAATACACACCACCGCAATTCGCGCCTGAAATAAAAAAAATATTAGAATACATTAATTTCAATATATTTTTTTATGAGTCGTCTATATCGACAAACGAATAGTGTTCGGATAATAAAACTTCTTATTCAGATATATAAGTTTGGTAAGTTGTATCGGTGCTCGTCGTTTAAAAAATTAAGCAAATCTGTGAAATAATATTTTTCTGACATATGATAACATATCAACAAATATCACGGTTAAAAATTCTTCTAAAAACCGTGATGATATCGACGATGTGAACTGCGCTCATATATTTACGTCACGGAAGCATCTCATCGCGAGAGGGCGCGAATTACAGGAAAGGTGAATGAATATTTTCGCTGAGGGGGTAAATCTAAACGCAGTGTAATTCACTAATTCAACTATCAGGTTAATTTTATTCTTTCCGAGATCAAACTGACTATGTATTGGCTAATATATTGATCGACCGATATTTTAGCAATAACAACTTTAGGCAGAGTAAAAAACACGGTTGAACGACGACGCCCTTTACTTCCCCCATATACGCTAAGTAAACATCCTGTATCCGCCCTGGGAAGTTACTATAGTGAATTATTTCATAAGCAGCGTTGCGTAAATCTGTGAATTCCTGTGGTGCATTCAGGTGATTCTTTGGTGACAAGTAAATCGCGTCATTGTTGCATTATAAACATGCCTTGGGCGTATTTCTTTAATGAAGCAATATTATAATGAGCCTGAGTTATATCCAGAGGCTGTACTTCGTCGAACGCCTTAGTTTTTCTAATCAAACGTGTGGTTAATATGTTATAATATTAGGCCAACTTTTCTATCGGATACAGAACTTGCCAGGATTCTATGTCTGTGTATCTAATGAATTTCTCAAAGTATAAGGAAGGGTAAGCCATCTGTAGAACCTTCATATCTTCAGAATTAATTTTAAAATATTTTGCTTAAATGAAGACTTTAAATTTTCCTTTAATAAAAGATTATAAATATTAAAGATTAAAATTCTCGTACTCCGAGGACTAAGTATATATATGACTATAGTATATTCAACATTCTGTGCCAAACATACAAATTAATAACCAATAGTAAATTAAGCAGTCAAAATGTATCATTACCACGTATTTCACACAAGCAAACAAGAAGTTTACGCGTAAGATTTGGGTGTTGATTTTTGCAAAGACTTTGCATATTTTATCGGACACCTACAACTACAACCAGAAGTCTATGGCTTGGAATCCGATCATAGCTGCATTGCTGCCATACTGTTTAGTGAATATGTTTGCTTTTTTGGGTAATATAGTTATTTTTGACATCTTCTCGAAAATTACTAGTCCGAATGTTTTGATACTCAGGAAAATTGAATCGGCCTCAGATTTGGTTATTTTGTGAGGACAGCCTACACAAATTTTATATTTTAAGTAAGTGGTTTGGGAAAATAATGGGCTTATTACTGAAAACATCTAGCCCGATGTTATGATATTTTATATTTAGTTACCGTGGATGGATCTGATTACATTTATCCATTTTTTGACGATATCCTCTGTTGAAATTTCTATATTATATTGATCAAATTACAATAGGACATGGCTGCTTGTTGTATGATATAGTGACTCACCTGTGAAATGTTCGCAATTGACACCATCAAAAGCCTCGCTGTCACAAAGGCAAGTATATCCAGAAACACCATAGCCGTCTACACAAGCGGCAGGAGCCACACAGGGACTAGACGCACATTCTGAAAAATAATGATAATATTTAACAAATTATTGGGTATAAATGACAAATGTATATTACACCAGATATAAATTACGCTAAGTCGTCACTATACTAGTGTTCACAAACCTATTTATTTATTTATTTATTTATTTATTTATTTATTTATTTATTTATTTATTTATTTATTTATTTATTTATTTATTTATTTATTTATTTATTTATTTATTTATTTATTTATTTGTTTGTTTGTTTGTTTGTTTGTTTGTTTGTTTGTTTGTTTGTTTGTTAAGAAATTT